CGTTAGAAACGCATCACATGTGCACATCACATGTGCATTCCTATGACTGCGTCGTTGATAGTACAGTTAGCCGTTTAAGTGCATGAGACTTCTCAGCACGTGCTTGTTGCACTACACCGCAACAGCCGCAAAGTGCCACACCAACAAATAGTTTAAATGATATATTAGATGGAACATGCTAAACCGCGACACGGATGGTGCGTTTGTCCATCGGCATTGGAGGACCCTGTCCAGCCACGGCAACATCTGAAGTGAAAACATCTTGAAGATACCTTTGGAAGTTGGAGGCTTAAAGGGCTGATCTACCTGCCACCACCTGAGTCCGTCCTCTCCCGCTCTCGCATCTTCTCCAGCCTTGCCATTATGCGATGAACCGGGGCTTCATTATGGCCAATGTTTGAGACTCGGGAGCATGGCAATTGGCAACCTACTAAAGAAAAACACATTGGTTGGCTTTTTCTTGCAGGCGAGTGCAAAAACTACTGTAATTGGAAGGAGGGTGCAACATTTACTGTATGTTTCAATCCAACTCCAAAAACTCCAAACACGATGTTCGTCTTGTAGCCCTGGTGGATGCCGGTGATTCTCTCAACTCGAACTGGGCTCAGGTTGCAACAGCTCAATCGCAGTGCCCATCCCAGCCCGTTCTTTGAGCATGCCTGGTCTAAACGTGTCTCTAACGAACCCGATGCTCTTGAACAAATCCCTGCTGCTAGGCCCAGCTGCTAGGCTATATGGCTGCTACCTCAGACTTGGTTTGTCTGGTGTATTTGGGCTGAACGTCAAACAAAAGGCATTGGAAGAATCATGACCTGCCAATGGGGTGGCATGTTCTCAACCATTTGCCCAAGAGCAATGGTTTCATGTGTCAATGGTTTCAACAGCTCTCCTGGAAACACGCCATCTTGCAGCCAAAAGGCAGCTTCGCCTTGGTCTGCTTCGGGTTGGATTTCACCTGGCGAAGCCCGCCTTCAGTCCCGCCTTCATAGATTATATAAAGGGGTCATGAAGGGTGTGGCGGCACCACCCAGTCTGCCCCGCTTGGTTCTCAACACAGGGAGACCTTTGCCACCAAATCTGGAGCAGTTGCACCACAGCGATTGTCAACTTCGTTCACGTGCCACAACACCTAATTAGGCAATCCTCAGCTCACGAGAAACATCTTGAAAAGCATGGTATCATATGGGACCATGGCACCCTCTCTCAACCCGGGGACGGCACAGAATGAACCAAACGACACCCTCCAAAAGGCCCTGCGTTTCGTCCTCTTTTTCTCACTTGTGGCAGCCATAGCCTTTGGGACCATCCCCTGTGTAGTCCTCACCATCATCCTTGACAACGGCAAAGAAAATGGCAAAACTATCAGGAATGTTTTTCCATGGATGCATGAGAGTGGCCGCCTAAAAGAATAGACCTACCAAGGTCAAAACTGGAAAGCGATGCAAGAGAAACACACGTCCTCTATTGGCAACTGCTACCCCGACCTAAGGGTGAACAAAAAGAAAAAACACTTCAAGGTCCAAGCCACAAAAAGTCACAAAGGGGTCGGCGACCCGGGGCCGGCTCGCACACAAAACCCAGGTGACCCCTCACTTGGCTGTTCGCTTGGCTCACTACGGTTGGGACCCGGGAGCGCAAGGATCCATTCAACCAAAATTGGTGCCGAAAAAAACAAATTAGAACTCATAGGTCGTAAGGTCATACGGAAAATTACGAGAATAAACTCACTTCACTTCGAAAGATCCCCAGTATGACATGTCAACCCACTAGAACATGAATTAGAGGTCATGAAAGTAATGCACGTAATCAGGTCACACTTATTTTTCTAAAGCAAACAGTTGGTATTGTGAAGCATCCCGGCTTCATCTCTTTGCACTTGTCATCGGCTTGCAAACAGAAAGTGCACAGATGCACTTCGAGTTCCCACCCCAACTAGACAGTCACAAATATCACATAGTAATCTACAAAGAGCTGGCGTTTGAGGTCTGGCGGGGAACACTGCCAAGCGGAACTCGCGGTTGAGGTCCGGCGGGGAACACTGCCAGCCGAAGCTCGCGGTTGAGGTCCGGCGGGAACACTGCCATCCGGAGCTGGCGGTTGAGAACGAGGCGGAGGAGCAGGTGGAGGAGAAGGAGAAGGAGGAAGGCAGCTGAAATAAAATCTGACAACCCTCACCTGACAGGTGGGGAACAAACTCCTGCGAATGCATGCAAATGCGGCCACAGTCGAGCCATCGCTCGTGATCCAAGGCACACACAGCACCTGGGGCGCCAAATATTTCGAGCTCCCTGTGAAGTGCAGCACCTGCAAACCTTGGATGGGGACGGTGAAATTTACCTTACAAGACTCAAATAAGTTTTTGTATCATCAGTTCCAACAGCCTAACAGCATTAAACACACAAAAAACATGGTCGATTGATGTCGATTGTGTCATTTGATCATCAACCAAGCAAAAATCATAACAACCGAGCTTATCAGTGGCCACAGATCATAACAAACCATCACATCATCCACATCGTCACCGTCTTCCTTTTCACAAACTAGCAAAACCAACCATATTCATCACCTTGTCCGTCTCCCTCAAAATACGTAACTAAAAGAACACTTCCGAGAAAACTATCCATGAACCAACCAACGCTACCAAAATCGAATCTAATCCAAACAACAAACCATAATACATGCTGTTCAATTAACCATACCTGTTCCCTGCTTTTTTACTTCAAGCCGTCCACGCCGGCACCGGCTTTTGTGGTCGACATAATCACCATCTACCAAATGGTGTGCCTTGCATGTTTAAGGTGTTCCTTTGCACGTTTGCATCTGGAAATTCAGAGAATGCACCGAAGCAATTTGTGAGAACTCGAGCATTTGCGATTTCCCGATTTGTTCCTTTTGGATATGGCGGTCTTCTTTGTTGCTACCCCGGTATGTAGGTATATGAGGTGACCAATGGGCAATACCTCACCACGCGGTGGATGCACTGAGCCTCGGCGTCTTGAAAAAGGAGATGCGTCTTGAACAAGGACTGGCTGGGCGGGCTGGCTGGGTTTCAAAATCTCGTGTGCAACCGTTTCTGCCAAGCTGAAACGAAGAAAGCATGCAAAATAATTGAGCACTCTGAGATGATGAAGGCAAGAATGCAACAAAAACCCACGAAGGAACGTATGTTGATACGTTTTTCATGCTTCGCCACGTGGTGCTACCATCACTGGCAGTTCATCAAGCGCCACATGGAGACGCCCTTTCAAGTGTTGGTGCAAAAAAAGAATGGGAGCAAGGAAGCTACTAGGAACCCAGGCATCGCTACTAGCAGCAAGGACGCTACTAGTAGCTCCTGGCCTTACTGCTAGTAGCAACCAGCTACTAGGAGCAAGGAAGGTACTAGGATGGAGGTTGAAACATCGTGGATGGAAGACCTGCCACGAAGACCTGGAGGTTGAAACACGGCCGCTGCATCCACATCACACCGGAGGGATCACGACACCGGTCTTCTGAGAGAGGTCACGGAGGAAAGTCCTCCAAAAACACCACGGTAGTGGTGGCCACCCAGAACAAATAGTATGGTACAAATTTGCTAAAGCAAAATAAAAAGGCATTCTTTCATTGTAAACAATAAGACTAGACAAGAGATGGATGGATGATGATGGTTCATTTGATTTAGCTCAAAAATAACCACACAGTCAGTAACAAATACAGAAACAGGTTCTATCGAAAGTGATGCGCCAAAGAGTTCTGCTTGGAAAGAACAAATGGACGAATACTACAATAAGAATCCAAATGACGAAATGATCCAGTAGTAGACATCAAAAACTAACCAGCCAACCTGGGTGTGACAATTGTGCGACTTCTTTGAGTTGCAAGGCAAGTTTATCAAACATAAGAGATCAAAATAATGCATGACATATTTGCCATGATTTTGAAAATGCTGAAGTATTATCTGTATGTTATGATGGTTAACAGGATTTTGGATTTGTTAGAGATTTGTATGACAAGGTTGAAAAGTTGAGGCCAGAACAACGTTGTTCTTATTTTGCCTGCACGGATGAGGGCACAGCCAAATAAGCAAAACATTTCCATAGAAATAAAGCAGCGTTAGAATATTTTAAGTTTTTGGGACACCCGTTATCATTGTTCCTGTCGATGAAGGAGCCTTATCAATAAATATAACAAAAAATATACAGAACCATTTCAAAGGGAACACACAAGACATGTCATAGCAAAAACTCATGCGAATGCAGCCGGGAGGGCTACAGGCACACTTAAAACACTGATAGTAGCGGACAGGATGAGACATAACAAAAACAGAGTAATTTGAAATGGATGAACGCATCATTAACATATACAAAACTACCCAAAGACTAGTGTTTCTGGAACAACTCCAAGCAAACCGCATAGATTTGAACATGGTTCAAGTAAAGGCACTGCTGATTTTCAACGAAATAACACAACCATTAATATCCTAATATCAAAAAGTGATTATGTTATGTTGAGCATTTGCCCAGGGAAAATGGAACTGTGCTTAAGCAAAGAAAAATGTCAATGGAGTGAAAAAATAGAGTAAATCCTGAAAACACGAATTCTTGTTGATCACCGAATTAATTGCACGTTTGGTGTTGAGTCTTTTAACCTACAAATGCACCACATAGACCAATGTTTTCTTGATGTGTGCCCTACTTACCCCCTACTGTTCCTTGTTGTTATCCCTGCAATTTTGTAGTTGCTATGTTCGGTTTCCTCTATCCCTTCATTGTGCTACTCTCTATTCTTTCCCGTGTTCTTGATCTTGTCTTCATTGAGAGGGTTTTAGTATACTTGTGGGTTTCTACCTGCTACAACAATATTGACACGACTAGGATTTCTCATGCATAATGTCCTTCTCCTGCGTCAAGTTTCACCTCACCATGGCATGAGCAATCTTCAACACATTCAAGTACACCATGTTCAACACCAAGATCATCAAATTCGGTATATCAAAGGACTTGAAGTGTCTTCTGCCACCTCTTACCAAGAAGTTGTAGTCAATCCTGTGTCTTGTCATTATTTGCCTTACCTCTTCACAAGTTGAACCTGTATAGCATCTATGCTAACCAACATCAACTGTCTTATAGACCTTTCCAACTTCATATATATATATATTTTCATCTATATATATGCATCTTAAGTTATCATACCTTTAGACCAAATATCAATTAATGCCCATAGGGAAGGCTTCTTCTTCAGTGTGCCAGCAACGCTTGCTACGCCATGGATAAAGTGTACACTTTGTTTGGCTTACTGAGTGCTGTGTAGTTGGTGATTGTTGATGTTTGTTCTATTGAACTACTTTACCCTGCACGACACCTTTGTGCTTCTTGTATTTTGTATCATCATCTAATACCTTTTTAGTTTGTGTTTTGACACTGTGCAACACATGACTGACTATATTACCAACAGTTGCATCCTTGAACTTGCCTAAAGCTGTCATATTTGTTTTTCTAGCAGTTTCGAGAAACCCAAATACTTCAGGCAGACAAAAGTTTACGCTTGTTAGCCTTCTTACAAAACAC